CACATAGCGAGATGACGAGGTCCACTTTATACGTACACCTGTTGTCACCAAAGTTAGCCAGGGCGTATCAGCACGGCATACGTTCTGGCGCTGCTACAGTCTCTTTCCCAACACTCATTAAATCTTCAGAGCCCGAAAGACCCGAGGCACTGCACCAGAACTACACACCCCTGACACGCATAGAGTAACGTCAATGATAACGATTGCAGACTCGGTTGATGGGGCTACGAAACTGCGCGACTGTGGTCGATCTCCAAGCAAAAATATATACACATCAAAAAAGAAAGATCTAGACGATGAAACTAATGAAGAAAATCCTATGAAACGTCGAAAAAATCTGAAGTCGTCTCTACCGTGCTCTGGAAGCTCCACTACTTCAACGGAAGGAGCGGTCACATCAACATCAACGACGTATCGCGAGAATTCTCGTGTTCTTCGGTAATGTCTGAATTGAAGCTTCGTTTATCGCAATACATTGTGTTCTGGGCGAAAAGACTACAGGGAAGGTAGCTTGATGACTACGATCTAACAAAGAACTTACAAATATTCGTCATTGTTGATTTGCTGCATCATTTCGTCAACATGGTCGTAGTCGCCCTCTTCTTTCGTCTGAAAATAAAGAACTGCACATCAATAGATAGAACAGGTGAGAACGAGAAATTGAATCTTCCACCAAACTTTGCTGAATCACTGAATATCACGATCAAAACGAGTGGTTATTACAAATCAAAAGACACGGGAAATTGAAGCATTTATAGTAGCGAAGTTGTAACTTCGTTGATCGAGTGGGGTTGTTGCATTGTTTCAGTAAATTCAATCATGACTATATTATACATGCAGTAGCGAACGTCTAGTAATCTTGCTTATTGCTATACGTATTTTATTTAAGCTTAGGGGAGTGGCACCATTACCACCCGCGCGGTCGGTAGTCAAATCTGGGATGAGCTCCAGCACAGACCAACGAAGCCTTTTACCCTGCGGGGACGGTGAAGTGTACCAGACGGCGGAAAGAGAAGTACGCTGACTTGCACATCGGCTGGCCCCGCTAGTCATGTATGGGCCACGTCGCTTTCAGTAAGCCGCTGCGATTCTAAATGGAGGTAGAATGCGTGCCGCATACCACAAAAGGCTCTTCAGGAATTTATCCTTTATCTTTCTTGAAGGCAGTTGGCACGATGATTTGGTGCTCGGCCTAAAATGCTAGTAGGGCGCTATATAGTGGGGAAATGGCGAAAGAACGGAGTGAAACGGTCAAAATCCTGCGAAGAAAGAGCCTCCGTTAATGTGTTCAAAATCAATTTTGGACGAGTTTCCTGTAGGCATCTTGCCAATAACCGCTACCGAAGGTACGGCTGCATATGTGTACTCATATATCCATGCAGCATCACGGCCGCTTCATACCAATCCCTTCGCTTCATAATTTGCTTAGCAAATGAATCGATTAGAGCGTCAGGAACGGTCGTCCATTTGTGGGCGGGCGGCGTGGCGGAGTTTGGGTTTGAGTTGTTGCTTGATAGGGCCCTTATAAGGGTTGGAAAAGGCATGATGCCGCGCCTGCTCAGGGTCGCGGAATTTCGTCCTGCCAGGCGTATCAATCCTATTCGTCTTGGGGATTTATCGTGCCAACTGCCTTTAGGTTAACTTGACGTGACAGTGTGGAGGAAGGTCTTTGTGTCTTTGATGTTCGAATTTTAGGTGTTGTTTTCTGAATTACGTTTTGTGAGCTCACTGTCACATAATATACTGAACAGAAACGCATCACTCGCTCGATCAAATGACTTTCTTTTCGTTCCAAGCGCTATATATTCCTTTCGATTTTTCATCCGTTTTTACGAATGAATGACTCGCATAATTTTTCTTAATTCAAGTTGGGCAGAAGAGTTGCAGAAGAGGTAGAAAGGATGTAGGGGTTGCTGGGGAATCCGACCAGGAATTTTTAACGTCGGCGCCATAAGGCGCTAATAGGCGCCATTTCGGCGCTAGCAGTCTTTCTTGGCACCTAGTGCGATAGAAGCTTCTAAACATGGGTTATTCGACATCTTATTACGAATCTTTCCTTCCTTTTGAGTGCCAGTGCCATATGCCGCCAAATTGGCGACAGAATTTTTTCTTTGCGAAATTCGACGGAAACGTGCGCATTGCTGAAGTCATCGCATTAAATGTGAAAAATCACGATTGCGCTGAAAAAAGGGGCGTGGTCATGGGAGGCGGGCTTGGAATGTCATTGTCAAGGATGGTAGGAATAGCACTCCCCCCCCCTCGGCAAAACTGCGATTGTCACGATTTCGTCAACGGTTTCAATGAGTTTTAACGTGAAAGCAACGTACGTGTCTCCAGCACCCGTTTTGCCGTAGTCGCAGCGGCTGGGAAGTGATGCTCCACACTCAGGCTGCCGTCGCATCCTGTCGGCGAACAAATGGGTTAAATAGTCGAATCCACCAAAGTTAGAAGAAATCGCTCGATTCAGTGGTCTAGGCAGGGCGGTTCGCACCCACATGCAGGCGATCAGAATGTCACGGAAGCTTGATAGATAGGTGCTGAACGGGTTGAGGACATCGCCCCAACATTTCCCCAAACCGAAGCAGCACGGCGAGAAGGTTACGGTGGTAGCGCTGGCCCTGGGCCACGGCGGCTCTTTGGATCCGGACCAGATGGTGCGGCTGAACTACACGTCAAAAAATTGGTAAAGTACACCGTAAACGTCAGCTCATGGCCAATAAGAAGGGACAATTAGGAAGTGGTGGTTTTCACGAGAACGCTCTGCCCAGCGTCACACAGTCTGTTCTAAAGGAATTCAAGGAAAAACTCTCCCAAATCCATGACATTCACTACACTTATCAGCCACGCATATTGCACCATTTCTCCAAAAAGAAGACACACCAAGAAAAAAATGATGCTAACTGTTGACTGACCTGTGGCGACATTTATTTAATAGTTTCCTGAATTCGGATGGGGAATTTACACCGACGAATTAATTCAAGGGGCTTGCATCAGCGGCCACGTGCCAAATTGCGGGTACTGCAGATTTTGGAAGAGTGAGGCTTCTCGGTCTTGCCTTATCCACAATATTCCCCAAGACTTTCTCGCTGTTTACCAATTCTTCAGGAACCAGGACTAACCGTGATAACTATCTCCACTGAAATCATAAATTCAAATGCCTCGAGGCATTCTGGAAGCAAATCGTCGATCTAAAAATGAACCGGGGGAGGGCCTCACTATCACGCTAGAACTGAGACCCTATATATGGCTAGCTTTCCACGAGGGGCCGTGGAACAGCCCGACTCGGCGGTTCAACAGCCAGCTTCCTGTTGGTCTCAAAAATCGGACTGGGTTACGGTAAGTGGTCTTTCTCGTGGATGGGTAATGTCCTGTTTTGGTGTAAAACCTTAGTAGGACTGCAGAGGCGTTTAGTCGGATATTCGCGAACCGCTTCGATCTTTCCCGACTTTCATGAAGGCGGTTCCGCCGAAACGTGCGTAAGCCGATAAAGTGTTCTACCAATCTCGCGAGAGTCAATAAAAAAGACCTACACTATTATCAGTTATACCCGTCGAAATTATGCCTTGCAACAATAGGCTAACCTGTTGCAGGTAAACCTATTCCTGCAGCATCTACGGCAAAGACCTTAAAAGTTACAGTGTTTTCTGTTTCATTTGAATGAAAGGCTTACTCAGCGTTGAGGTTTCCATCCGGTCTGAAGATAAAGGTCAAAAATCTGCCTTACTTTTGGGAACCCAATAAATTGTCCAGCGAGTGCATAAGTCCCATGAGTAAAAACTGCCAAGCTGTTTTACTCATTGTAAACCAAAGATTCAAAACTTATCTGTCTGTGTGACATATTTGTGGGCGGTCTTGGAAAGTCATTCGAAATACTGGTTACCACGCGATCGGGTGTCTGGATTGATAGCGGATCCTGTCTCTGGTCAGGACAGTGTTGTGAAGGATGCTGAATCAGTCAGAGATAGAGCAAGATTCTGTTAGAGTACTACTGGCTACAGCTATGTATGGGTGATGGCAAAAATAATGACCGTTTTGAAGCAAATATTTAAAATATCATAACTCGCTTCAAGTGTTGCTTTTCAATCGAAATAACGACCAAAAGAATCAACACATTTCTGCCAACGAGAAGGCAGTTTAGATATTCCGCGCAGCATAAAATTCTGGAGTTCTGGAATCGACGAAATCGTTGAATGCCTTTTCTACGTCGTCTTGGTTTTCGGAAGCATTTCTCTCGTAAGAAAATTTCGAGTAACAAAAACACGTAACAAAATTTCAGACGAACAATATTCAATGGCTTGAAAAATATAACTTACGAATTTTGATGAGTATGGAGGATGGTCGAGACTTTCATATCCCTACTCCATCGGTTTTTTTTTTTGTGCTGTCATCCATGAACCATGCGGTCGGGCGCTGTCATGGAGTAGGATCGGCCCTTTTGATTAATGCCGGCTGAGTCCGATGCAATTCTTTGGTGCACTTTTTCGATTTCCTCACAGTACTTCTCCGCTGTGATGGTTTCTCCTGGAGCCAGGAAGCTGTGGTGGATCAAACCGGCTGTAGACCACCAAACAGTCACCATGACCTTTTTTGGTGCAACTCCGGCTTTGGAAAGGTTTAGAAGTTTCGACGTGACTGTCCTGACCGTCGTCTATTCTCGTATTGAATCCATTTTTCGTCACATCGTCACAATGCGTTGCAGAAAAGGATCGTTTTGTTCCGCAAAAGATGAGACGAACAGACTTCGAGACGACGAGATTGCTGGTGCTCAGTCAACTCATGCGGGATCCACTTGTCAAGTTTTTTTTACCTTCCCAATTTTCTTCAAATGACGTGCTACAGTTCCGAAGTCAACTCCCAGCTCTTCAGCAATTTCCCTTGTGGATGCTCTTGGGTTGGCTTCTATCTGTGCCTTCAATTCGTCGTCTTTAACTTCCGATGGCCGACCGCGTCCCTCCTGATCTTCCAGGTTGAAGTCTCCATTTCGGAATTTGTCGAACCACCTACGCGTGGTGCGCTCATTTGTAGTACCTTCGCCCCATGCGTTGGTGATATTCAGCATTACGGCCGAGTTTGTACGCGTGAAGCATGATGAGTCGGATTTCGCGTCTTGACAACATCTTCGCGGGTGACCCAAAATCGTAGAAGAAATGGTGGCAGAGAAACGGGAAAAAATTGTACGATAGCTTGAAAAATGTGCTTAAGAACGATATATTAAATTACTATATTTGCCCAAGTTTTCAAGAATTATCAGTGGAACATAGCAGGTGCGGAAACGATCATTATTTTCGCCACGACCTAATATGAGAGCGATTAAATCAGCTGACAGCCAACTTCATTGTTTTTACTGTGTTGTTTTCATTCAAAGACGACTCACTGCACATTCGTCGCTTGACTTCTCCTTGAATTCCAACCGGATCATGCATGAGAAGAATATCGTCGGTTTGTCGGCGAATTTGAACACTTGAGATTTTTGTCCCGCCATCAGCCCATTTCCATAGTCCAAATCCTTCAACAGGAACCTGTCGAGGGAACACCTGCAACAGTTCTGCGGGAAATTGATAATGGCCATATCAATATTAAAGTTATCCTGCTGTTTGTGTGCTGGTGGTTGAATGCGTTTCAAGCCATAGCGCCTTTTGGGTGTGTGTCGATTCATTCAATCGTCGACAATAAGTGGGTCGCCGCGCCGGTGGGCGGAGCGAAGCGGCGTGGCGGCCGCCGCGTACGAGTTTTGCTTGCGTGGCGTTCAAATTATCAAAGGGCTGACGATCCCTTTAACATATCCCAAGGACCAAACAACACATAATGACAATCTTATGCACTAATAGTGCTAGTCAGTAGATTATGAGATTTAGATTAGAGTACAACTGGATTATGAACGAGAAATGAAAAGGTTGCGACGTGGGGCTGGATTCCAGCAGTCTAGGCCGAGGTTTATCAGTCACATGAACGCAAGCATGCCAGAAACAAAAGAATTTCTTTCGAATGTAAGCGAAGAAAGAAAGGAAAGAAACAAAGAAAAGAAATGGTAGCATTGAAAATAACTGGGAGAGTTCTAGCAGTCCACGATGGGGTTCATGTTGAAAAAAAACACATGACAACCCTCGTGCATATGCCAGAAGAAAAAAGTTAACTTCAAAAGTTTGACGTAATTTGAAAACCGTATAAAAATGCTGACATTCAGCAAAAACCAAATAGAGACTGCATAGAAAACGTCTCCCAGTAATGTCCCAGTGGTAGCGAATATCGACATCGCAGCGGTGAATAATGAGTAATAGGTGCTGTATAGTAGGGAGATTAGTTGAAATCGAACTAGCAATTCATTCCGGGATGTTAGTAGGACGCCGTGAAACAATGCTAATCGTTTGCTCCAATGACAACTCGGGAGTAATGCAACTCCGGGATTGTCGGTTGCGGCGTGCCGCGCGGCGACGCGGCGCGGCGTGTGCGGCGTGACCTGATATGCCGACGATAGAACCGCGCCGTCAGCCGTTTCAGCCTCCAACGACTGGTGAAGAACGACGTCTTACTGAACTCAAACTTCCTTACGCTCCCACCGTAGATTCTATAGATTTGACCGCAGAGCGTCTAAAATGGTGAGTGGTAAAAACAATGAGGCAGACATGTGCGCTCGCGAGTCCTAGTTGTTGTAGGAGTGGTTGCGCACTTCAACTAAACGTGGCGGTGGTAGTGCTTTCGGAGGGAGGTTTGCATTTTGACACTAGTTGGGGTCGTGGTTCCGTCCAGCGGAAAGGTTACTGTTCTCGAATTAAAGTATCCCAGAGCAACCACTTTATGCCATGCTCAAATGCCACGCTCTTCCCGTTTCAGGGATAAGGAGCCCACGGTGGATGAAAAAAATGATGGCGAGTGACAAGAGCCAATAGGGAGTTCAGGAAATAAGTGTCATGTATTTCACAGCACACATTGCAGCAACTGTTTATGGTACTGGGGTGTTCATCCTAATAAGTGATATAGGAACTAGTGCGGGAGCATTGTGGTGGGTGATAAGGAATGGTAGCGGTTAACAGTAATAGTGAGGGTTTTTACGAATCAAACTCGCTGCTTCGCTCTCCTTAGGTCTATTCTGCGACCACTGCAGCTCAAATATCAAAGGGCAGACGCTCAGTGAACGAACTGTGAAAACAACAAACAGTGACCACACTCCTCCTTCGATAGTAATGAAATCAGTACCGATTAGACCCCAAGCTCTCAAGCCACGGCAAAAGTAGACGCACGGTGGTACTTGTTGGTTAGTACTGACAATAGAGAGAAAACAAATGACTATGTGGAAACCAGAGGCCACCATAGTTGCAAAAGTGCTAGAATGTAGAGGTAATTCATTGTAATTTTGAAGCTATCACCATCAAAACGCTTGCGACCGCTACCATTTCTTATCCAAAGAATACAGGGCACATCATTGGTTGGGAATTTTGGTCGAGTCCGTACGATCCCCCCTTTTTTTGAGGGTTGGTACGACCACCCCCCTCCGGCCCTCTGTCCCTCCTCATCGAGCTGTCGAGCAGAGGGGGGGGGGGTGGAGGTAAATAGCACATATGAAACGGGGAAAGCCGCGAGCATAATACGATCCCCATCCTAACAACGACCAACTACGATCCCCCTCTTACAACGTCCGTGAAGCGAGAAAAATCAACTATCAAAATAAATTTTCTCAGCCCAAATACGACCCCCCCCTCCCTGTTGGGGATTCCCCAACAACGATGTGCCTCAAAAGAAAAATGGCTCCTTCCAAAATCGCAAAAACGAAAGTGAGTCTAGGGGTATGAGGGTCAGCGTTCTTGCCAGTGGTCCTTTTGTGGGGTTACAGCGAAGCAACACTCGATGCGACAATGAGAACTTAGGCGACGATGGGTTCACTGCAGTGCGCGCGTCAGCCAAATGGTTTGAATTACCAGTTATCATTTGTATGCGGTTTATATACTGAGTGTTAAAAAGAACTTGAAATACTGTACTTCAGAACAACTGTAGACGCTGCAACACTTTCACGTCTAGCCCTCCCGTACACTCATATAATGAAAGACGCTCACTAGGATTGCCGCATGTAGAGTAGCGTTCTAGTTTTTCTATACTGTCTCACCCTTCGTCACCTGAGTTCTTATTGTCGCACTGAGTGTGCTTCACTGTAACCCCTTATCCCTGAAAAGCAAAAGGCGTGGCATTCGAGCCTTGCGTAGAATGTGTGACTCGTGAGATATTTCAGTTTGAGACAACTGTCACCTTGTCTAAGGTTGGACAGAGATATGACCACCAAAAGCACAGCCACCTTCACGTTAAGTTGATGTACGCAGCCACGCCTACCACATCTCAGGGATTTCGATGAAAGTTCGCATAATACTTGATCGACTGCAAAATGCGGCCCTTCATGGTGTTTCGACGGTTTGTCTCATTTTGTTGACGCGTCCACGAAAGAGTCAACTATCACCTACGAATCCGTACTGGGATCCCAAGTACCAACGAGTTACTATCGCGATTTGTGCCTTGATAGGACCAAGATCAAGATTTGGTAGTTGGAGCCTTCAAACTACAAGGTTTTGTTCTTGGTTCAGTGCTACGTCAACACGGACTGCTATTGAAATTTGATAGAGCGAAGTTGAAAATCACCCTTTGTCGTCTATCAATTGCTGACCCATTCCTTGTCCGTCATCTGCGCTACAAGAATGTACTGTCATGCAGTATTTGTCCTTGTCTTCCGACTCGCATGTCCACCTAAACAGAGGCTAACTATCGAATGCTGCCTTCAAGGATCCCATTTGTCTTTAAAAGATGTGATCCAAAAGACTCTTCCTTCTGGTTTCCTTTCACAGTCCCCCACCATCTCTTCATCCAGTCCATAACCATGCTTACCCTGATTTTCTTGTCGGGTCTCTATTTTGTAGAGTTGATATCGTCGCAATCAGTGGGGCCGATGTTAAGGAGGGCGGAATAAGCCCGATTCCGGCTCCCCTTTCTACCAGTAGTGATCGGGTAGTGAACATTCAGAAAGAATACAACGAATAGTGGTAGAAACGTCTCGGCTTATTGCAGTCCTCATGACACCGCCCCGACGATTGACGGCACTCTTCACCCCTCTTGTTTTCCTACTTTCTCTTCGTATTCACGGGTGTTAACTGTTAACTACAAGTTTGCACAAACTGAACTTACGTCATTCAAATACAAAGTGAGAACTCCTGAGACAACTAACGCTCGAGTGATAAGTGATCCCCCAATTCGAATGGAAGCAATTCCTATATGCATTTCACACTGCTCTTGAAAAATTTATTTTACGTTTACGTGCACCGAAATGGCTTCGAGGAAGTGCTAACGATGATGAATGCAGAGAGATCCAAGCTTTGAACTCACCTATGGTATACGGTGTCACCTATAGTAGCAAACATAACTGGAGCACCGTTCTCATCACTGTGGAGTACCTGCAAAACAGTAACACGCACTCTGGGAATCTTACAAGGGAGGTCGTTCAGGGCGTGGTGAGCTTTTTCAAAATGGTCTTGTGCATATTGTAGGGGCACATACGAGGACCAGAAAACTGAGGTTCATTTTCGCTGCGCGCTTCTACGAATAAAAAAAACGTAAAAAATAGGTCGATGGTTCGGATCCCACCGAGGACAAAATTTTGCTTTTCTACAATTTTTCATTTTTTGGATCCATGTTTGTCTAAATAATTGGTCCTAACAAAAACATTCACGATAAACTGAATACACGATAAAGTGAGAACTCCTGAGACAACTAACGCTCGAGTGATAAGTGATCCCCCAATTCCTACTCTTGGAGCAAAACTGCTTTTTCGTTCGAATTCGTTAGTATGCACAGACTCAGCTCTTCGGCGCTATGCCGGTGCCAGATGGCACTGGAACCGAAAATAAAGTCTAGAATC